CCGCTACAAATGACATCACAGTATTCAAACACAAGCTAGCGACGACTGGATATTCAATTGTAGTAGTTTAAGGGGTGAACCGCAAAATATCAACACTAGACAAACAGAGTCCTCTTTCAGGTATGTTTAAACTGAAAGCGGTGCTTTTGTGTCGTGTTTGATCTACAGTATCATCAATTCTCCGTGTTTTGGAGTGACAGAGCGCTGCTTCAAGTTAGCCAACTGCTAAAAACAGCTAGCCTGGAAAGACAGCGCTCTCCTGCTCTTCAATGCCTCACAGCTTCCTCAGTTTACTTTCATTTAAATCGGAGCTGTAATTTACATGAACCCACTTCTTTCTTTCACTTTCGTTGCTTGGGAATGCACTTATTTTAAAATATGACTGCCCGAACGTGGGAGTGTGAGAATGGTGTAGTATACCGAACGTTTATCGAACATGTTGTATCGCTCTATCGAGGAAAAGTTAAATCAAAGTTAAATCGCGATAATTATCGTTTTATCGCCCAGCCCTACTGTGACTAAAGCCAAACTAGTACAAACACTTCTCCAAACTGTTCAATATTCAATCTCTAACATCATAAATACTTATAATACATGAAATGCAGGTAAATATAAAGGCAGCTGTTTCAGGGTAATACAATGTAGTATGATGTTTTACATTAATTTTGTTTTCAGATATTTGTATAGGTTTCATGAGCCTTATCAATATCATGAGCACGTTGATTAAATATATACAAGGAAGAATTATGAAGAAATATTAAGAAATTAGGCAGTAAAACAAGTTAATTTCATAATATAAATCTATTGTACTATATCAGTATGAGAAATTGTCACTACGGGGAAATTTATTGTACAACGTACACTCCACATATATGAGAAAACAGTATGAAGATAAACTCTATATTGTGTGTGTATATATATATATATATATATATATATATATATATATATATACACACATACACACACACACATACATACATACACATACACACACTATATTATACCCACATCATTATAAGAATAAAAAAGAAGCATGAAAACACAAAAGGCTCCAACATGTTCACTAATAAACATATATTTATTGTACTACTCAAACATTCAAAACATTCTCTCTTTGCTGCTGTGTGTGTGTCTGTGCTGTTTGTGCTTCTGCTGTTTAAAATGTACTTTTATGACATTCGTTTAGCTAGTTAGCTAGTTAGTTCGTTTAGCTAGTGAGCTTGCTGCTTTTCAGATTAGGCAATTTTGCTTATCGATACCGATAAGATTCTGATATATGGTGCATCCCTAGTATAAACAGGAATATAAACCATTTCAGGACTGGCAAGACATTTTTAAGTTATTACGATTACCATGACATATGCACACCTAGAGTCAAATCCATTACAAGGAGGGAGTCAAGGCATTGAAAGAACAGTGGTGGTTCAGTCTGCTCTGGAGGAATTTCCATATGATGAACCATGAGGAAACTGATTTTATAGTTTGCATGCCATATGATCAGCTGACTGTTCTTTTCACTACCCTTTATTTATTCACCCACTCTTTCTATTACAGTATGAAGCAATGAAACAAATGTAAACATATCAGACCCGTCCAATAATAGTAATTAATACAGCTATGAAAACTTTAAAGGAACAGTTCAGAAAAAACGATAACTTGTACAATGTAATAAATCAGCAATGACATGGCTGATGTTGGAAGTTTGTTTCTTCATATTGGGTGAAAAAGACTTCTGTTATATTAGCCTCTTAGCTCCAGCTAAGAAACCATTCCTTGAACAAAAGCTATTGCAAGCTGAATACTCAGTATGTCAATAACAGTTCAGGTGGATATCCTGCAGTATTTGAAAATGCCCTCCTAATGAACAAGAGAGGCTATCTAACAACTGAATTCTGTGATGTAAGGCAATGGTGATTGTATAAAACATAAAAAATAACAATAGATGTGTATGTTAGAAGAATTAAACTTAACACTACAGTATACCAGTACACAATGACATCCCAACAAAGATGTTTCATTTAACATCAGCAGTTGGTTTGTCAGTCACCACAACTTACTACACTAAAAGCTGAACTTAATACTCTAAAAGTTATAAGTGACCTACTGGTTTGATCTAGTTGACTAAAACTTGAAAAAAGGCACTGTGTATAGTTTCTGCATCTGGAGTTATATCTAACAGATGTCAGAATCAGTGCTGGTCACAATGGTATATCATGATAGCACTTTTTAGTTTTAGCAATTTTATTAGTGATATATTTGATATGCAATAATAAATACAGGTAAGGTAATACCGGTAAAATTGCAGCAACCCTGCTGCCAACAGTTTTTATTTTAATTGTATTTTGTGCTCTTTACTCAAAAGTTGACTAAAATATATTTCATTTACTGGCTTCTTTAAATTGATCTGCAAGTTTTAAATTCACAAAAAATGAATTAATAACAAGTTTCCTTCCTGGGAGTGTAGTTAATATTTACAATACTATGTAAAATTCCCTTTGGTGTAACTAGAACAAAACAGTCTAAAACAATCTATGCGAGGTTTGTAAGACATTCCCTTAATAGGTAAGTTAATATTATTGTTAGAAAATTGTTAACTATCACTTAACTATTACTTATAATTTAAATATTGCTTGAAACTGTTATAGTTAGAAAATCCTGTGATACTGAAGGCCATCAGTACTGCCCAGCACTAGTCATAATCAGACCTCACTGAAAATTCAGAATGCCACCCTTCAGTACGGACAAGGCCTGTTCCTTCCATCCACAAGAAAATTAATGTGGCTTTAGGCAAACACGTTCGGATGGAAGGCTTTGATGTCTTCTTTATGAAAGAGTGACAGGAAGTATTTATAATGGGTTGGCATTACGCAAATATGATGTAGTTTCTCAGTGCTTAAGGAAAAGGGTGAGTCACATCTTTCATATCTTTCAGAGAGATCACTTTTTACATAGAACAGGCAGCAATTTACTGAGAATCAGCTATCAAACAGGCAAGCATTTTGTGTTCTACTCTAGGTTAAGTCAGTGAAAAAGGGAACGGTTCAGCAAAATGCTGCAGTTTTTGAGATTAGGATCACATGCTACTTCTGCCAGTCAAATGAGGTCAAACATGCTTTAAAAAAATGTTTCCCAACCTAAACAAGACACATAAAATGAATCACAACAAGCACAGGTTTAGAGTTTTTAAGTCCCTAGAATTAAACACAAATACCTATAACAATGACGATGATTGTGATAATAAAACATCTTCCCTACAGTGCAGCATTAGAAGTACAAAAGAATTTTAAAACCACAACCATCCCAGATGTCAAGTACAACATCCTAACCTTTGCCAAGAGAGAACATTAGCCACAGTCAACTGCCCTTCTATTAGCTATGGTCAACTGAACACTGGTCACCAGCTAAACATCTATTAGTCCACAGATCTCACAAACAATAGGAACTTATGTGTGAAAGGAAACAAGGGCAAGCAACATTTGATGAAAAAGCAGCACACAAACCTAACTTGCAGTAATAGTCCTTAATCTTTTTTTCCTCAAATTACACCGTTCAGAAATGCTATATATGGAGAGATCTACAGTAGTTTGAGGCCACCGTTTAACTTGGGATGACTATCTAGGCTCATTAACAAGAAATCCTTGAACTAAATATAACCCTTGAGAGATGCACCGATATGAGGCCTATATGGAAGGACTTATTTTGATATTTTGTACAGGGAAGATGATGAAAACAGCATGACAAAACCTAAAGAGACTTAATTATTGTTAAAACAATCACAGCTCCATAAGTAGACTGTCTGAGTGTATGTTTCATACAATGCCTGTGTCTGTCTGGCGTGTTTCAACAAGACTATATCTCGTGAATTTACTGTGAAACATGAGTCACTGATTTGACATAGGTACAAGGCGAAACAGGGTAGTGATAAAACAATAATATAACACAAAAAAATATAAAAGATACGTGTGACATCAGTAAGAGGCCACTGTAAGAAGGCCTCTTCTGCCTGAGTAGAGTAGCCATTAATGATCCTGTCTGACTGAGCTTAGGATATATTAATTGTATTAGAAGTATTTAGAATCAGCTAAAATCAAATAAATTAACTTACTGTACAAGTCACTACTGGGATATTTGGGTTCACTAGTACTCAGTGGTAACAAAATGACTTTCGCAAAACACTGGTGCACAGCTGCTCAATTCTGTGACGTCTGTTCACACTTTGTAATAGAAGTCTCTTGTAAAATGCTGAAAACGTAACATGTTACAAATTGTGGCAAAAGTCATTATTAGGCCTACTGTTATTCTGTCTGGATCTATCAACATTTAGATCACCTTTAGTACAACAAAGCTGATCTGTAGCATAGTAGGCCCCACTGAGCATCTTCATCTCTCCAACACAGAAAATGTCATCTAATTCACTAAATGAGTAATACTGATTTTACTTCTGCCTTGCTGACTGCCTCTCTAACGTCAATCGTTCAGGCGTTACTTATTGTTTTTCTTTTTTTAGACCAGCCATAGGCTGGCTTGAAAAAGGCCCTCCGACAAAACGACGAACATATTAAACTGCTAAATTACAGGAATTGTCGTCTTCCAAAACGGTGTACAATGCGTTAGTTAGGCATAACAGTTCTTACAAAATGAAGAAAATGGAATAAAGAAAAAAAGAGCAGCGTTAAAAAAGAAAGCGACACGGCACCATATCAGCTGACAAAACCGAATCTGAATCCAGGGAACAAGGAAAGCAAAAAAGCAAACAAAGCAAAGGTTGTTTAAATGAACACCGGATATATAACCTATCTCCCTCAACTTAAGCACTACTGAGGTAAATTAAACTCAACCAAAGCCCTCCGCTCCTCGACATCGCATTGTTTCTGAAAGCGCGTAGCTGCTTTAACGCTGCTTCAACATGGCTATAGCAGGAGGAGGAGGGGAGGCGTTATCTCTCAGACCCTCTTCCACTCAGCGAACACTTCGCCGTGCCCGAGCGTGGACCTTACCGTGGCGGAGACGAGGCTGCTGTCCGTCAGGGTGAGGTGGTGAGGCTCCCATCTCCGCAGGAACTTTGAGGTGAGGATTTTACTGAGGAAGGTCCGCGGGTGCTTTACCACACACACCTGAATGTCGCCCTCCTGGAGCAGCTTGTACCTCATGCCGCTGCTGCAGGGGAGGAGGAGGCTCCTCCGGCACGGCGGCCCTGCGCCCTGCTTCGCGTTGTTATTCCCCTCTGGCGGTGTCGGCGTAGACATCTCGCCCAGCAAAGGCTTGCTCTCCTCGCACGGATAAAACTGGTTGTTGTGAAGCTCATTGCCGCCACCGCTACCGTTAAAATCCATGGTTAACCTTTTCACTGTGCCAACGGTCCGAATGCGGTCGGTTGTAGTTCACGAGGAATATATATGTTTAAAAAAACGAATCCCAACGGTCGCCTCAGTATGTTAGCCTCGGCTACAGAAACCTACCGCGATTCGACCTCAGTCGTTTTAACAGTGCTAAGGGCGTAAAACAGACACAGGCGAGGGACGGCGAGAAAAGCCATTAGCCGAAGAATCCGTCACGAAAGTGTACGTGGACGAAGAAACGGATTGTGTATGTGGAACAGTCCAGTGTTTTTTTTTCTCCCTGTTCCCAGTCAAAACGTCTTTTTCCCCCTCGTTAACGCTCCCTCCGTCCAACGAGCTATTCAATATGTTCGGGCCATTGCCATATCCATTCTGTCACTCTCCACGACAGCATATTCCGTTCGGCCACTCCAACGCGTACACGGTTACAGTAAGACAGAAAGACAGAATCCAAAAGCGACGAGGTTTCTCCGTAGGCTTTTTTTTTCGTTCTTTAAATGCTCGTAGACATGGTTCCCTTTTCTGTCTTTTTTTTTTCCTTCTCTCTCTCTATCTTCGTGGAGGAACCGAGCTCTCCGATAGCGCTGTTGGATTGGTCCTCTCTTGGTCATGTGACACCGAGGTGACGTCAATGGGGAGGCAAACGGATGCGCTGTGCGTCTCTGTCTACACACGACTCTGTCTGATAGGGAGAGAAAGCCAATCTAGTTCCCTTCACACAAAATGGAGAAAGAGGGCGCACGATTTTTAGTATTCTGTCATTTTTTCATTTTCTCTGTACGTACATTTTTAAGTACGTCGAATTGGAGCGGCCTTTACTGTTTTACCCTTCAAGTTCAGCCACGAACGGGTTCTATAGACCAGATCAATTGGGACTACAGTAGATCTTGTTCTGTGGCAGCGAAATGATTCTTTTGTCCAGGCCAGTAGCCTGTCTCTAAACTACACGGCTGCTGTGAAGGCCAGTCTACTTTGTTTCTTTTGTTTGGGCTACTCGGAACTAATTAGCCTCCTAATAGAGCCATGACCAGAGAGGGGTTATTGAGGTTGTATTTTACAGGGCCTAAACTAAAAACGTCTACTAGTTAAAATGATATCATGACAGGCTAAAAATCTATATTTATCTTAAAGTTTCACCTTTGTTCTTTTACCAAAAAAATCTGTGACCTGCGTTGATCATGTTTCCTGAAGAAAAAGCGCAATATCGCTTGATCAACTGGGTGATGATGTTTATTTCAACACTCTTTCACTCCCTGAGATTGTACAGAATTTCTCAGGAAGGCAGCTTAGGGCCATCCCACACTACAGACAACAACAGTCACCGACACTCCCCAAGAATGTGGCAGCACTTTTTTTTTCATCTCTTGACGTCGTAACTTCAGTCTGAGTCAGGACAGTGAGGGCTAGATGAGCAACTTGATAGGAAGTCAAGCTTGTTGAAATTCAGGGGGTAAACCTTTGTGTGCAAACACCAACTGTATACTGGCCTATAAAATGACATTTCATATCAGCCAGGGAAAGGGCAATGCGATTCTTATCTTCTGACTAATTCACTGCTGCCATAAAGTACAGCACGGTTTTGTTTTGCACATTATATTTCACCCATGCACATTTTAACCTTCACCTTTTAGTGTTTATCTTCTTTAAGTTGGGCCTTCACTACATACAGTGTACATCTATTTGGACATCTATTTGTCGATTGACTACGCATGGTGAAAAACTGACAAATATTACTGTAACATGTCCTATGCTGTCATTGAACTCATTACGGGCAATAGCGTCATCGCACCAAGTAAAGATACTTGCTTGATTAGTACCCCTGAGAAAGATCTTAAGCTCTGAATGCATTGTCCCTCTCCTGTTTTGTTTACAGCCTTTTCAGTGTGTGGTTGCTGAGACAGAGCCCTCACGTCCCAGCTGGGTACTCTGATGATAGGCTATGCAGTCCCACAGAGCCCAGGCAGAGAAAGAAAAGCAATCTAAAACGCTTGGCATCCTGTATGTAATGGCCTCCGTACCTCCTGACTAGCATCTGACAAAGAAATGAATCAGACTTCCTAAATCATATGAAGTGATACGAGCCATAGTGACTTAACACTTGGTCACCTGACCAATTGCGGCACAGGAAGCGGACCACAGGAAGTCTTTTGTTATAGGTGTGAAGAGACATGAAAGGTGCGCATGAGGCAAACCTTAGGTCTGGGGTCAAGCACTGAAAAAACAAGCACTTCTGATTGTCTCACTACTGAGATTAGAATGGTCTCTACAGGAAGAGCGTGTTTCTAACATTGCTCTTTTTTCCACACTACCCCAACCTTACCACTGAATTGCTGCATTTACTCTAAACACATTTAGGTTTCTTTTTTGCAAGATCCAGTAACAAGCCACAAATTGAATCACATGTTATAACATGAAGTTGAAAGTGAAACAGGCATCTGTTATGGCCTGACTTGATGATTAGCCTTTAAAGAAATCACCTACTTTTGACTTTTTATTACCATGTACTACACGATTACCAATTTTTTCCCATTTGTCATTTTCCCATCTTCAAAATAAAAAAAAAAGAACAAAATTAAGTGCAGTTATTCTTTTCTGAGGAGCTTGGAATGAGACGGTCAAAGAGTAAACTAGAGCTCAAAAAACTTAAAAGAAAATGGGACTCGTGACAACTTGCTTCAGCTCTTGTTTCACATCTGGTAAAAATCCACCAGTGTTTCTGTCCATTCTTCCACCTTGAGAAGGCAACATTAATGCTATGGGTCTGAAACAACATATAGCTGTCAATCACTGAGAAAAGGGTAATATTGAGTACAAACATTACATTATTGGGTAATATTAAGTACAAAGTAGCAGTTTGGATTACTTGGATCATGAGAAGCAGAAAATACAGCTAACATTCAAGACTTAACCTTGGAGGTGTAGAAAAATGGAAAGCAAGTCTCTCAAAAAGAATGGAAGCTGTAATAAAGGCACAGGCTGAACACACTAAATACTGAAAAATGTATATTTTGAATACTTGGTCACTTCTGTGTATTCTTCTGTTAAATTCATATTTTCTCCATACACACACACACATATATATATATATATATATTATATATATATATATATATATATATATATATATATATATAAACACACGTATGTATATACACACATTATATATATTTATATATATATATATATATATATATATATAATGGCCATTTTGACTGGAAATTAAAAAATGAACAATGGTCTCTGACTTTTGCACAATACTGTATTTACGGTAGTGTTGGAATAGAATCTTGAAATAATGTCTTTAAAGCTGCATGCCACAATAGTCATTTTGGAAAACAAATACAAACCCAATCCCATAATGTTGGGACCATATGTAAAATGCAAATAAAAACAGAAAGCAGTGAATTAAAAATCTACTTTCATCTGTATTTGAACAAAAACAGTACAAGTTGAAGACAAGATACTTAATGTTTTATCAACTCAATTGTTTTTTGTAAACATACACTCATTCTGAAATTGATGCAACATGTTCCAAAAAGGATTTCAGGCATTCCAGCCTCTACAGTGCACAATATCATCAAAAGATTCAGGGAATCTAGAGATATCTCTGTACGTAAAGGACAAGGCCAAAAACCACAAATTAATGCCCGTGACCTTTGACCCCTCAGATAGCACCACATTGAAAAACTGGCATGCTTATTTGATGGATATTACTGCATTGACTTAGGAATACACACCACTGTCAGTAAGTACTGTTTGTTGCTGTATCCACAAATGCAAGTTAAAATCGTACTATGCACAGTGGAGCCACATGTCAATTGCTTCCCGAAGCACTGCCAACGTCTTTGGGCTTGAGCTCATCTGCAATGGACTGATGTACAGAGGAAACATGTACTATGGTCTGGTAAGCCAAACTTTTAGATTGTTTATGGAATTAATGGACATTGTGTTCTCTGGGCCAAAGAAGAAAAAGACTATTCAGATTGTTACCAGTGTGAAGTTTAAAGGCCAGGTTCTGCCATAGTATGGGTGGTATTAGTGAGTAACTTACACGTTTGTGAAAGCACCATTAAGACTGAATAGATTTTGGAGCAACACAAGCTGCCTTTTAAGCAGCGTCTTTTTCAGGGACCTCCATGTTTTTTTCAACAACACCAAGTCACATTCTGCATGTGCTACAACAGCGTGCCTTCATAATTAGAGAGTGCAGGTTGCAGACTGTTCTGCCTGCAGTCCACCTGTCTCCTATTGTAAATGTGGGTCTCATTAAGCAAAATATGGTAACAAAGACCCTGTAGGGTTACACTGCTGAAGAAAAAAAATGCTACTTTCAAAACTGGATCAGTTTGTGTGTGTCTTCAGTCCCCAAATGATTATGATAGTGCTGTTAAAAGGAAAGCTGATTAACACAGTAGTAAACATAATCCTGTCTGATTTTTTGGAACAAGTTGCAGGCATCAAATCTGGAATAAGAGTATATTTGGGATAAAAAACAATGAAGTTCATGAGTTAAAACATAATGTTGTTTTCTGTACCATTTCAATTTAATATTGGTCAAACAGAATTTACTAACTACTGCTTTCTGTCTTTATTAGCATTTCACATATCATTCCAACATTTTTTAAGAAGTGAGTTTGTATACAATATACAGAACCAAATGGTCACAACGGGATTATATTCTGAGCACAACATTTCTAGCCTGCTCTGTATTATACATAGGCTGTTTGGTTCACAGAGGACCTAATTCCCAAGCACCTAATATGGGGCACAAGAGGCCAGCTCTCCCTTATCTGATTTTTAGCCACTTATCAGAGTCCCAAGTCACAATACCTCTTGTTATGAGAGAAACTCATTTTAAATGAATGAACATCTAGGGTAATCCTGTTGCATTAATCTCAACCAATGTACTGTTTCTTCCATACACATACTTCCACATACCTGCACAGGGTTACACCATTATACACAAATACACATGAGAACACGCCTATACATCCTGTTTATCATCTCTACTATCCACACAAGAAAGCATACAACATCCATCATGAGAAATTATTCATTTTAATTCTGCATTTAATGTTAGCTGCTGATTAGATACAAATGACAAAAAGTCAAACATTTAAGGTGACAGTCCTTACATTCTTTAGAATCCATCATTTATGAAGGTGCTTTTTTCATCTCTGTTAATTTTACAGTGTGGTCCATCTTAGGAAGCCTTAATACGTCATGATCTGGTAGTGCCTTTATTACTATTGCTGACAATGTAATAGTAATAAGTCAGTAATAACTGCAGTCTTTTTTTGGCAAAGAAGTGAGCATCTCCGAGCAAAATGAGATGCATAAGGCCAAACTGAATCAGTTTAGTGTACAGGGCCAAATAAACCCTTGATTGTGCAATTATTCATTCTCAAGGTGCTTGTTTAGGTGTTGTGTGAGAATACGTCTATGGCTCTAGAGCCTACAGTGTACTGTAAACAATGGCACATGAAGGAATGTGGAGTGTGTTGATAGTTATCATGTGTTTGCACATGCACAAGCACACTGTATGTTTAAGTGCTGGGCGTGAACACCGGTGTCAGAAAGGTGCAGTACGGATGACGATTTTGGTGTTTTACTGCTACATAAAATATGCTAGATTAGTCCCACTTTACATTAGGTTCTATTATATGCTATCCCTTATAATAGTGCGAGTATTATACAAAGCAAAATTTCTCAGCCAATTTAAGAAAGACTGTCCAATAAAAGCAATGAACAGGAACTAAAAAATCCCACTCTTTTCGAGCACTTGAATGTGTACATACAGTGTGTACATACTAGAACTGTCTTCCCCAACAATTTGCTGTCTTTGAACCAAACTTTTTTTTTCCATTAAAAAACAAACAAACAATCTGTGAATGATTGTTTTATACCATACTGGACTGCACACTCTGTTCCATGCAGTTACTTTGGTCCATTTTAATGTCGACAGTCTTGAACATTGTCACAGTTAAGAGCAACAGCAAATAAGTGATAAAAGGCCAAATACGTCATGTATATTATCATCATGTAGATAACCACAACATCTCGAGGGATGGAAGAGGAAAGTATGTCAGCAGGATGATAAAGAGATTAACAGTTGAGTCACTTTAAAAGCTGAAATGGTTGTATACAGAAAAACATTCAGAAGCCAGAATAATCGTCAAATTCAGGCGCATAGCTGAGTGTTATTATATATGATTTAGGACACACTGTTGATAAATCAAAAAGGTACATAGCACGAGATACCTGAGTCAAGAATACGATCATATTGAATATGAATATAATCATAGCTTGATGTTAATCTTTACACTTGGAACGATATATTTTGATGTCCAGTGGGAATGCTATGTGGCTTTAATGGACTTTGACCTACAGCAGATTTTCCAAGTCCATTTATGATAATTGTCTATAATTTATCAGTACATCTGTAGCTTTCAATATAATAATTCCCTTCAAATCTATTGAAACTACTGAATAGCATTATGACTAATAATGACGTTACAGTAACATTCTTTAAATGGTCTAGTGCAATGAAACTGTAAGCGAAAGACAAGTTCAATGATCATGTAACACTGGTATTAGGACCATGTGATCTGGTGTGCAACACATATATAACTAATAATGTCTGGTGTTTAGATGTGAGTTGCTTTACTCATGTGGTGCTTGCATGTGAAGGTGCGTTTCTGTAGAAGTGAATTTGTAATGTGTGGGCCTTCAATTACAACGGACAGCAGCAGCTGTGACGTGCACAGAACAAATGGGGTCGCCAGATGCCAAAACCGTCTGTGGCGAGTGGGAAGCCAGTTCAAGGGTCAAGCACATAATACATACAGTAACTTAAAAGTGAGACAAGTAGTTGTTTCAAGAATCCTGGAGAAAGATTTTTTCTGTACTGATGATTACACTACCTGCTATAAATGTAAAACATAAAAATATTAAAATGTAAAATGTAAAACTTGAATCATCCTAAGCCCCAATCTGATGTATGAATGTTATGTAGAATTAATTCTATGTGAGGTATATTGTACACCGTACCGTAAATGCAAAAGCTTGAGAAGGGTAACTGATTCTTGCGTATATATACACATAATCTCTCAAAGGGCAAATATTCACATCCTCCACCATTTTCCCAAAACACTCTTCATAATATACTGTCATGTTTCACACCATCCTTAGTCTGACATTTAAAAGCCGGTCCCATCGGTAAGACACTCGAATTTAAGACAATTCATTAACTTGCAGGTCCAGACCACGCCTGCAATCAATTTTGATTGTAAACTGTAGAAGGGGAAAAACTTCTCTGTTCTGGGTGGCTTCAGCTTTGACCTAGAACTCCTATTCTGCAGATTCTAGAAAGGATTGGAGAAATCATGGCGAACAGGGGGAGCCAAGCAAAAACTCATAACAGAGAATAGTAATGGTGAATAGGGAATACATTAGTTAGAAGGAAGGAGTTTCAGGCGTCTTTCACCCAAACTTCAGTTATTGCATAACTCAGTTTATCAAAAAAAAAAACTCTGTTGTCTACCAACAACAAGCTTTTTAACATCATCCATTTCTCAAATAAGCATTAGTGTTTGCCTAAAAGTCAGCAGCAGCCAGTGACACCCACCCTATGCTCCACTGAAATTACAGTAGTAACACTTAAAAAAAGCAGCTGAACTTAGGCTACCATTTATCAAAACTATGATACTTGACTCCCAAACAGTAAAAAAAAACAAAAAAACAAGGAGGTTGTGTACATACATTCCCTTAAGAAGGCATCAAAACAAAGTAAACAAAAGAGGTCCAAAACGTTCCCATATACCTCAAGTATTCTCGCCCAATATCCATGTTCGGTTACAGCTATAGTGATTCCCAAGACCCACATGCAACTTTCTTCCAAACGGTAAGGTGAGAGAAGAGTGACGCAGGGGTATGGATGTGCACTTGGTTTAAATGGATGGCACTCGAATCCTGAAAAGGCCCTGTTTGAGCTGCAGCCGGAACAGCTTACAGTTGGCGATGCGTAGGGCGGCACAGCCAGTCTTACACAGGTCCGAGGGAAGGAGGGGTCTGGTAGGGTGCCACGTGCCCGTACTGCGGCGGAACTCTCGCACATAATCATAACTAGTGCCTGCACACATGTAGAGGGGAGAGAAAGGAAACAAAGTAAACTACATTACCATTCTGAGCAAAATGGCCAATGCTATTCCATTTAACATCATAGGTAAATATACTAAAAAGGTAAATATTAGTCTTGCCAAGTGATTAAAAACACTTCCAGCAAAGACGAAATGCAAACTTCCTGTAAAACCATTATCCAAATAACTGATGAATTGAAAAAAAGCTGTTTGTATACAAAAGTAGGTAACAGTTTCAAGGTGACACATTTCAGATTACGTTTCTTTATCCTGTCTAAACACTGCGATTTGATTTACCATTTGGAGCAAACATTAGCATTTATGTGTGGCTATTTATGTACAATCTCTGCAGAAAGGAAGAGCACATATCAGACTATATTTGAACATAAGCAAAAATATCAGCATCTCTTGATGAGCTGAACTTCAGCTTGCAGAGTGCACAAGTAGTCTAACCTTGGTTTTATATAGCACAGTAGTCAAGACTACATTAAGTGTAAGCTCTGGATGGAAACTCAATTTACAAGAAAGCATGATATACAGTGAGGGGAAAAAAGTATTCAGACACTTCCAGTGCATATATCCAAATTCACATACACAATATCTTTTGACTTTATACACATAAATAAGATCAAAAATAATGTTATGTAACCGCTACTCGTAACTTTGGGCAAGTAATGATTTGCTTGGAGGAATGGGTCAAAACTTAACCACTATGCAGCAAAAACACATTTTAAATCTTTTCACAGATGTCTCAAAGCTGCTTCAACGAAGTACTAACATTATTAATTTTGTAATTTATGAACACTTTATTCCCCATGCCAGTTTCGTATTTGAAAATATCTTAGTTTATGCTTTTGAATACATGCTTTTTTTTCCATATTTATGAGTACAAACTACATTCTGTGTGTAAGACTGATATTATTGAATATTATTATTGATATCATTGAATATTAAATATGAAATATTAAGTAAAAAAAGTTCCTGAATACTTGTTTCCCTTCACTGTATGTTTTTAGAAATGTCTCTTAGATGTTCATTTTGAACACATTAGGCACTAACTACGAACAGACACATACTCACAATAATTATTTTAATTCAATTGATAATAAAATGCAAATAGCAAGTAACTCACTCCTTCAAGGCTAACTCAGATAAAAGGACATGGTGATGAATCCATGTGCTGAGAGGCAGAACGAGAGAACAGCTGATGAAACTGTATGGCCTGTTCTTACCTGTATCAAGCTCTCCCACCACATATATACTGGCACCAATAGGAACAGCACCGTATACAAAGGATGATGTAGTGTGTATACACAGGTTCTGATCATCAAGGAGCACCCATCTGCAGCAAGAGATTTGTAGAAAGTATATAACATAATTTATGAGTTTACTTGGATAGTCCACTGTAGATGTCCTGTATACTGTTGCTGTTTCACAAAAACTTTATATATGACTTGACAATTCCAGCTACTCTTTGCATTGTTTCAAAATTTCATGATGAATGGACCAATAGAAATGGTCCAAAATGACTTTGAACGAACATTACAAATTAAGAATGTTTTTTCCTTGTCCTGTAAAGTTAGCATTTAGGAGATACAAGGTTTTATTCTGATAGCTATGATATGCTTACCTTGTGTTTAACTTGCATTCAACTAAATATCTATTCGTCACCTTATCTTTTCTCTATCCCTAAATGTAACACTCACTCTAAATCTGAAATTAACTTTGACTCAGAACCTAGACCTAAACCCAGCCCTAACCCAGGTTCTACCCTAATCCTAAACCTAGTGCTGTTAAAAATCACCTCAGTTTTAATAGACAGTTTGTTTTAAATTGGCAGCATTTGCAGATCATCTATTATAGGCTGTTTAAATAAAGTGAGACTGTATATTGTAGCAAAAAAGTCTCATGTGATTGTCATTCTGAAAAGCCCACCTTTTCAACTCATCATGAAAAAACTCCGACTTGCAGATGGTCATCTGACTGGACTCAGGATTATCTGCATCTCTGCTCCTCACTCCTCCAAACACATAGAGCTCCTGACTGACTCCACAAGCCACAGCACCAAACCTGAGGAAAACAACGAATCCTAAACGCATGATGCATGATGAAATCAGAATATTATTGATATCATCAGATATTTGCTTAAAATAATAACTCAGCATCAGTTAGATGTCTAGATTTGTCCAATATTTCAAACCAATATTTGATCATGTATTTATTATACTCTGGAAGAACAGAAGGTGTAAGGGATTCTAGACTACTCTGCTAAAGCATCTACATTATATTCATTTAACTGCATTTGTAGCTTTACATAAATATATGCTATATTTCCCCATAATGCTAATCCACACATATGTGGTCCCAATTTGTACATTTTTATAAATGTTTATGTATTGGCATTGGCAGATATGTACATGAAAAATATCAGATATCGGCCTACAATTCCCATATTGGTGCATCCATAAACTAAACATTACACTTTGTCTTGTATATAGACAAACAAACATGCACAAGCACACACCACCACTGACCCATGCTGCAGCACCAAATCTGAAAGAAACGGCCAAAAATAAACATTGCATCTTTTTCTCAAGCAAGCATAAACAAACACATGGGGGCACACAGGCACGCAACACTGTGATCGCTGACAAGATCACTAAAAAACATCATGACCATTGTAATCTATCTATATGTGTACATAACCTTTCTTCCATTATGTGCACATACACACTTGTTTTCCAGTCTGTGTTTCATACTTACTCGTATACAAACTGAATCTGCAAAATCACATTTTGCTGTTTAACTGATATTAAGATTTCTGCAATGCACCACTGATAGTAGATAATTGTGATCTTTTCCATGTGGAGCTTATATCTATGGGCAGGCAATTTGGCAAAAATATAACATGATACTTGAAGACATTTTCATACATGATTTGCATCGTGATATGTTGTTATGCTGAGTACAGTGATTATTTTACCCAGGTTTTAATGTACTGGGCATCACTACATCTAAATTAAACAGCACCAACTACACACTCATGTACTCCCGGCATCATCGGGATTCAAACTAACAATCTCCTAATACCAGGACAAAACCTTAAATAGCCCCAGTTAATTCTCTTTTTAAAGAAACACACAGTTGGTCAGTATGAGAATTGTTATAACTATATCATCACAGTGCCCACATCTACTTGTATAATTCCAATGTTTTTTTTGTTCCATTTCAAAACATTCTGTGACCTTCACTGCATGCACTTATACCTCCTCTCCTTTAGAGGGCAGAGCGTAGTCCACTGCTGAGTTTTGGGGTCATAGCATTCCACAGAGTCATAAATTTTCCCATAAGATCCTCCTCCCATCACGTAGAGCTTCTTCTTCATGGTAGCACAACAACTAAACTATGGATTGGAAAGGCATATATTACAAAAATAGTCAACAGGATTGTACACAAAGGCTGAAGGATCCAGCTGTGGTGAACATTTCTGTGTTTGGGTCACCTTTCGGACTGTGGTCATGCTGGTCTGGGTTGTCCAGGTATTAAAGTGAGGGTCAAACACTTCCATCGTGAGGAGAACTTCAGTGTCTTCATTTTCTCCACCCAGCACATAGATCATCCCATCCAGCTCAGCAATACCAAAGTGCCGCCTAGCCTAATCATACAGTAGACAATGGTAAAACACTGACTCCTGGTGTTAAACAGAGAGAACTTTCATAACAGCACACGGAAAAACCTTGGCAAACAAAGAAATGCAATTTGCAGCATGTAGAATGGTGTGCCTTGTTTCTGTTATTGTGTATTCCAGGTAATATCATAATTATACACCAATAATATCCATCATTTCATCTTTTTATATTCACCACAACATCTGAGACAGCCTGATGTTGCATGTTGTTTCAACATCCTACTAAAAAGGTTGTGTGCACTGCCCCTAGTGGAGATAATAGAATTATACTCTCGTAAACAGGAAGAGACCTACATCTAATGAAGATCAAGAGCTTTGTGTGTTTTCTGAAGGCTAGCCTGCTTGTTTAGTCCTTGTTTTATTACCTATGTTTAAGATGAAATAATGATACCTGTTTCATTGGTGGGATAGGGGTCCAGGTGTTAGTCTCTGGGTCATATTTTTCTCCACTATTCAAAACAGTTTTGTTTTCATCCATTCCTCCAACTGCAAAAAGGCATCCATCTGATTGGACATACGGAAAAAACAAGAACCATGAACCACACAGCCTTTTGGGCATTATTAGTCTTAAAGCAGTGAGCATTTTCTGTGCTCTTATTATACTTTATATATACTTGACAGTTGTTAAATCTTGAGAGTTGTGTTGTCTAATATAGTATCCATACCAATATGCAATCGTATTGGAGTCACAACAAAATTGACTTAGCTTTAGCAATATTGATAGATAACAAAAATAGTACATTGCAATATATGTCATTTGCTGACTGACATGTTGCTTGGAAAGAACTAAGCAATTTTTAAAAATATTAAAAATAAGTAAGGGGCGGCATGGTGGTGCAGTAGGTAGCGCTGTCGCCTCACAGCAAGAAGGGCCTGGGTTTGATTTTTGGCCGGGCGACCAGAGTCTATGCGGAGTTTGCATATTCTCCCTGTGTCTGCATGGGTTCCCTCTCACAGTTCAAAGACATGCAGTCAGGCCAATCAAACATGCTAAAGTGCGAGTGTGTGTGTGCGTGGATGAATATGTGTGTCTGTTTGCCTGTCTGTCTGCAGGCAGACAGACACACAGCTTAGAAAACGTGTGTGTGTGTGTAAAAATAAGTACGCACATTTGTCTTCCAAAAATCTTGTTTCTGCCCTAGAATACTACGCAAGACTCCCTCTGGTATAATTTTAGGAAAAGCAGAACAGAACAAAACAGTCTAATTCAAACCGGCCATGTGAGGTTAAGACATTCAGTACCAGGAAGCATTAAACCCCTTCCACAGAAATAAGATTCAAATGGTAATGAGTATGATTTATAAAACCAGAAGCAAACTTGATTTTTGTCATTGTAGTGAGCAAATCAACATTTATAAAAGGTGCTATTATGTTTAAATGCTATTGTTTTGTGGAAGTTGTACACGATTTTTGTTTTGTTTTAGCACACCATCTTTGTGGAGGGGTGTGAATTGTTTTCACAGTAGGGGGTTCTCACCCCTCCTCTCAGCTCATCACAGAGTCACAATATTTCACACACAGCCAACAGTGACCTAGTTAATCTGATAACAGAGTAACAGGGAAAAAGTATAGTATTTTATTTGATTATATTCATTCAAAATATCGATTTGAAAATTGATGCCAGTAGAAAGGTCAGTAGGGGGCTTGCAGAAAGAGGCTACTTCAGGCTTCCTCAGACTTCATTAACTTTTAGTGCAAACTTGATCTGATACTGTAATTCATCTGAAAAATATTGTCATGTTAAATGTTAAAGATACCGCTCAACACTATTTCAGAGGATTATGTTTGACTTTTTCACAAAATCACTTGGCCTCAGTTGTTGATTGCAACAAGTTAGTTTACTTTAAAGAGGGCTCAAACTTATAAAAATCATAAAAGCGTTATGCATCAAAAATTAATTGTTGTGATTGATTATGACAATTATCAGTGTCTGCAATCACACTCCCAACATTTAGGCTGTATTATCAATAATAATGGCATACTCCATTAGTACCAATAAGGGATGCAAGTGATTAAGCAAAGGAAGTTTTTTTTTAACCAAATGAATCTTTAACAAAGTTATTGGCATTAGCTGTTGAATTTTACAGAGTTTTCTATTATTTACTGTGTGTGCATGAAAAGAAGCATTAGGCAGAGCAAATCTTTTTAAAGAAGACACTGACCAGCAGTCACCACCCCATGACCAATGCGTCTCTCATTCATGGGCTGCAGATCAATCCACAGCTGCCGGTTTCTGTCATAGAGGGGGCACATGCAGCGCGTCACTGCAGAGGGCTTCCTAGTGCTGAACAGGAAATAAAGCAGGAAACACACTTAGTTTAAAAAGTACCTAGAGCCAGCAGGCAAGCACAGATGAATCCTACCCTTGGATAAAATTACACATTTAATGGAAATTCCTCATTGAAAATCTATTTTAGGCTCTTAAACTTAATCAACCCACATATACACAGTCTCCCCCTGAGGATTTACTATGGCCTACTGCAATTATAAAACCTGGAAAATTACAGTACTACGATATAAGGGGCCTCAATCAGATTCAACCCAATTTTAAACGGCTTAGAAATACTTAATTGGCTCTTCATGCTTTGCCTTCTCCAAACATTTCCACAGACATTTTACGGTATGTTCTAATACTCACGCCCTGTCTTCACCCCCTACAGTGACAATGCACTCAGAGTAGCCACGGGGTTTGAAGGCAGCGAGCATTGCTTCCCCTTGCTGCGCTGCACCTCCCAGAGGCTCCATGCAGCACTGTCCAATCACTTCCCTCATGAGGGGGTCTCCCAGCATCTGCTCCTGCAGGTAGCTCTGGTCTAGACCCTGCACCCACACTGCAGACATCACCTCCTTCATGTGCACCTATATCCAGGGAGCAGCAGGAATTAAATTATTACTACATATCATACATGGTTGGTTAAAAATTCTACGTAATTCACTCACTTTGCAAACAAAGTAATTCGGAGTAGCTTGATGTGTGTTAATTGTAGAGAAAGAGACTCTTTACAGTGGTGGTGATAGGAACCATATTGATATAATATGATATAATATAATGAAATATTGATAATGGTAGAGAAGCAGTAAATCTGATTTTGGGGGGTGGGGGTGCATGTATTCTACTGCCATAAGTGTATTTAAAAAAAATGTTGATCTAAAAAATATAAAACAACATCTCAGACATCAGGTGGCGTATTCTTAACCTTTTCCTGTTATACTGATCAAAACATAAAAGCAACAGTTTTTACTGAAAAGATTTTACTGAAACCCCACAGAAAACATGAAACAGATTTGCTACATTAGTATCTGGTGTGAGCAGAGCCACACACTTCTAAATTCTGTATTTCTATTTTGATCAAAGTGCTACAAACGGAGAGCAAAAAAGTGTTGCTTATGTGTTTTTGTTCATTTCATTAAATGCTCCAGATGTCTGGTTCATATCACTATTGGCAGATGGTTATTTTAAATTATGTCAAAAAATGAAAAAATGACAAAAATGGAGATAAGAGATTTTTGTCCCGACAGCAACAATATGCTTACGTGTATACAACTATAGCTGACTGAAACAAGCTGAGAAACATTAAATCGATACAACAATTGTGTTTGCAAGTAGAACAGAAGATATTATTAAGATTTAGTTGTGTCTTCTATTTTGTGGCAAGAAAACTTTGTTTCACATTTTCCATGTTTTTGTTATTGTTTGAAATCCAAACAAATGGAAAAAAACTGAAAGCACAGACTTGTATCTGTCGGTGCTAAATGTAAATTGCATGTTATTTACTGCACAACTATAATGAGGTGCAATAATAAACTGAGTATTTTTTGGCTGATTTTTATTAGAAACTAGAAAAAAACCTTTCAAATTCAGCGTGCTTGGCTGGCTCACATTATTTGTCAGAAAATCATTACACAGATTGTCCAAAATAAACATCAGCTGACTGCCAACTGTGTGCTAGAAGTGGTATCGAACCTGGCTGACTGATCATTTGCTCCTAAATTATACAATTAGGTATGCAATTATGAAACTGCATACTTAATACAAATACATAAGTAATTGTGTAATGCAAATGCAATGTAGAGCTATAAGACATTTCTAACTTTAAAAAAATAAAGATATGAAGATGAAATAACAAAATGTCTGACCAAAAACAAACAATCTCTGAGTGGGGCTTTACAACACAGTATATTTGACCATATGCTGTAAGAATGTGCATTTGTAGAGCCCATTGTTCTTACCCGCCGGGCCTCAATGTCGTGTGCAAGCCAGCGGACCACCGCCTCCAGAACATGCTTCTCGTTGCCCACGTTAAGCTTTTCCATGGACAACAGCTCGCACAGCCGATCAGGAGGCAGCTCACGGAACTCCTCAGTGTCCACTACATCTCGGAAGTGCGTCTGCAGGTACTCGGTGGCCACATGGTGGACGTGGTGCAGGCAGTAGTGAAGAGAGAACAGTCGGATGCCAATGCAATTCTCAGCAGTAATGCAGCTCTCCAGGAACTGGCAGCACAGTGACTTGAGGTCAGTGAGGAGTAGCAGGTCAGCAGCCTGGACCACATCCTGGATAGTGTCCTCATTTAGAGTGATCTACAACCAAAGAGAGTCAAAGACACGAATTTTAACAACGTTTTTCACACTTGAACACGCTGGCATGAGAATATGATGCAGACATTTATTTAGAGCAGAAATTCACACAAAGAATCACCTCTCCACTGAATATATAGTCCAAGATCTGCTTCATGATGTGGACAGAGATGCCCTGCAGCTCGATTTTGTATATGGATCCATCCTCTTTGGGTGGGTTGTAATTTAGCTTGGTCCTGTAAACATGGTAGGGAAAATGAAGTTGATGAAGTTGAGGTAAACACTTTTTTTTAAATGTGAATGACCCCTAATTATTTATTGGTAGATATGATATAACCTATGATATGATATAAGGACAGCATCTATGATTTATATGACATCATTCAGGGACTGGTTGTTTAAGAGTAGTGTTAGGTTATGTATAGGATGCAAACAGTATTTAGTATTTAAAATTCACAATGGTGAATTCTAAATACCATGAACATAAACTACCATTCAAAATTTGGAATTACTTATCATACAAAACTGCTGTTTTTTTTTATTCAATCAGATCTAAAATGGTGTAAATTGAAATACTATACGCTAAACACCAGGAGGTATACTAAGATGTTTTATTCAATATCTTATTCAATAAGTGTTTTGGGAACAGCAAAACAATCTTATCAGCCTCAACACCTGATAACCGTTTTTGAAATATAAGGTATTCTGAGTGTTAATTTTATCATAATTCTCACTATTTTACAGCTTTTTCAGTCATTGTGAAATCATCTGCAACTCCGTTCATCATTCTGGATTAAGACATTTCTTCAATTTTTACAACTTCGTACAAACTGGTTGAAATCTATTAAGTTGTAAAGTTTTAGAATCATAATAGAATGGTTTATATGTGTACCTGCAACAAAATCGGTTTTATATATTAGAAAACAGTGAGAGATGACCAATTCAATAGGTCTTGACCTGATATGTCAGATCAATATCAGCAGGATATTCCAGATTGGATACTGGTGGTTAAAAAAAAAAAGAATTTAATCCTGTAACAAATATATCCTTGGTTCCCATCACCACAACTGCAAAAAATCTGCAAGTTTCTCTACAATGAACCATTTCACATCAAACCACTCTGAATGACTCTGTTTACATCTCAAGGACTGAATTAAATTTTGAAAAACTGGTGGAATTCCCCTTTAAGTAAAGTGCTTGTTTAAATGCTTAATAGCTTTTAAAGAATAATGTGCTGAAAGTATCAGGCGATACTCAAGGTTTTAACATTAGTATTGAAAATGAAAAAGTGGTATAATGACATCTCTAGATGCCAGTGTTACTCGTCATGCTACAGCCAAAAAATTCCAGTTATTATCCTAACAGGTGGAAAGCTATTTTGTTGGATCCCACAAGAAGCTTCAGTGGGTATACTGAAGCTTTGTCTTGAGAAGGCAGGGTTTCTGGAGCTAAACAAACTGTTTACAGAAAGGGGTTCATACGAAACTAGAGGCTTATGTTTGAAGCACAATGAGCACAATGAGAGCAGCTGACAACAGCCAGAGGTGGAGTCTGCTGCTGGCACACCCTGCTGATGTAGTTTGGCTTCAGGCTCTGCTGCCGCATGTCTGAGCACTTACACACTTGCACAAGCACCATGACGAGCTTTTTCCAGAAGGTCACCTGCTATAACATACTGCTGAAACATTCGTGTTCTGGTACCTTATGTATGGACTCGCTGCAGCCAGAATGTTTTTCTGAACAGGGAGCTGCTCTCCTTCCAGCACCAGCACAGCGTCCTGAAAACTCCCTTCTTGTCTGAAGGACCGCAGGGCTCTTAAAAGCTTCTGTGAGTGTTGAGGGTCCGACACAACTGAACCAGCATCGGCTCCACCCTCAGTCCCAGCTTTGGACATGCTGTTGAACTGTTAAACTAAGAAGAACCAAAGCTGCTGTTAGAGAAACTGAAGTTGGGTGTGAAAACATTAACGACAGCGCACAGCCTGAATGGACAACTCGGCTTAAAGCGCGATTCAAATCTATCAGTGCTAGAAATATTGATCAACCTGCCCCCCACTACCAGCTGACTAACTGCAACCCCAAGCTTCTGCTGTTTTCGTGGATCCCATCAGTCTGTGAGAGCCCCGACTGCTAAATGTGCAGCAATAACCCTACAGGGAGATGAAGACGGATAGCGAAAACACGTCCTATACTTCATAATTAAAGTCGAGCTTTATGCGCGTGTAATGCAGTTTCAAAAGAAAAAAAGTAAAAATGTAAGCAGTAAACAAAACATATTTAAAAAAAAATACATATTTAAAAGTTCTTACATTTGTTCGCGGACAACACAACAGTAAAATCTATTTTTTTCGCAGGTAACAAGAACACCAAAAACACCAACATAGGCATCAACCAGTTAGACTTTAATTTTGAAATCGACTGACAGACCACATTGAAATCTGTAGCTGAGGTTTCGTGCAATAAACATAACACATTTAAAAAATATATTTAAAAAAGTATTTACATTTGTGCACAGGCAGCACAACAGTATACTCCATTTTTTCGCAGGCAACAAGACCATCAAAATACTAACAAATACTAACATAAATATCAACCAGTGCGACTTTAATTTTGAAATCCACTGGCAGGCAACATTGAAATCTGTAGCTGGGGTTGCTGTTTTCGTACTGTTGCCACACTGCTGGTACTCTTCTGTCTAGGCTGTGTCTTTAATATCGTCGTTTTTTTCTCATTATTGTGAGTGAGGCAGTTGTTTCTTGTTGCTTTTAGTCATCTTAGATGAACCTAACTATCCCACATTTTATTCTGAGTAGTCAAACTAGCTTTAGCACCTTTTAGGAGTGTTAGACTTTGCCCAGATTAGTCTTGAGCGTTTTTCAAAATAAGTGCCCATCTTCCATAATATTGTTTTGAGACAAATAGAGCACTTAATCTTAATGTTTATTTGTGTCACTTAAAGGAATATGTTACCAACAGCACCCTAACCCATCTAGAGTCTTAGCCCTAAAGATTTAGATGGTCACTTCTCTATTATCTCCTGCAAGAAACACAATCTGTTCACCTTCTCCCTCAACAGTGTCCCACACTGTCTTTTCCCCTCTTTACTTCAGTGGAAAGTGTGTGTGTTGGGGGCTGGCCAGAAGAATGTGTGTTTTTTTTTCTTGGAGGAATGACAGCAGCCAGCAGTCGTCATGAGTGCAGGAGGTTGGGGTCGGGCTCAGAGATTAGCTGGTCCTCATGACCAGGACTTCAGTCCACTCAGCCCTACGGCTAACATGGACGAATACATGCCGCGCACCTATGGCACAGGCACGCTGGACAACAGGCCACTGTTTGGAGAAACCTCTGCCCGGGTGAGAAAGAAAAAGTTCTTGTAAGAGCAGTGCAGTCTGGAGAGGTGAAAAAACTAAATATTAATATCAGAGAGAAATCAAGTACCCCAGAATAGTAAGCACTGCCTTTTGGTTCTAGGTGTAAAAAGAAGTGGTGGTTGTAATTGCAACGCAAATTTTATTTTCTTTCAGGATCGATTCGTCAACCTTGCTGTTGGTGGGTTCACATCGCTTTTAGTCATAGTAAGTAAATTGTTGTTTTCAAGAATTCCTAACTCACACATCCCCTTTCCCACATACAGATAAATAGGCTCAGCTCCTGTTATTAACACTGTATTTACATAGTCAAATATGCCAGCTGAACCACATTCTTGATGAATTGCTTGAAGCTTCAGTATGTAAAAGAGTGGTTTGATATTAGTTTCTTGATGTACAGTCTTGATGTTTAACTGTGTTCCATTCCCTTTCTCACAAGGTAACCATCATCAGTTCATTTGTCTTTCCTACACCTCATCCAAAAGGCCTGAACATCTTCTTTGTAGTCTGCATTGTCATGATCTGTTTCTCAGTGTTGGTTCTGGTTAGTGCTGTCATCAGGTCTTCATTCTCTCTACGTTTGGTCTGTGATACACAGTAACAGTGAAAGTTTTTCATGTGCTTATCAGTCAGAACATGGGTGTAATCAGAAAGAAAACTGACCACAATGTTCGTTAGCTATTGTGATAACTCAGTTTTAGTCAAAATAACATCTCTTTGTCTATTTACAGATATTTTGGTATCGTCAAGGAGACTTGGAGCCCAAGTTTCGAAACCTCATCTATTACACCATTGGCTCCATCATCCTGTTGTGTTTATGTGCAAATCTTTACTTCCATGATGTTGGGAGATGACAATTACTCATATGCCTAAAAAACACACTCACCTACACCCTTCCATAATGATTGCATCTGTGAATCTGTGAATGTGTACATCTACTGTGATTTCTGAAACATGACAGCATTCCTAAAAATAACTCACACTGTGGGTGAACAGACAGAAATGCAGTGGATATGTTAGTGTTGGGCAGGATGCTCAGGTTCATGTTGAAAGCTTTCTGTTTATAGGATTGCACTGATTGTGTGATTACATTTATTGCTTAATGTAACTGAAGTTTTAAGTAAATGTCTACAGTATACAGTATGATCTGATGAGCAGAATGCACACACCTCAGGTGTTACTTTGACTACAATGTCTGATGTTTTGCTTATCCTAGATTACTTGAAATATATTAATGGGAAGATTGTTAAGCAAATAATACTTTAGGAGATTGTTTTGGCCTGTGTATGTTTTTTTTTCTTTGTTCTGTGCTGTATGCATTTCTGTGTGATCAAGAACAATGACTGCTGCAATGACTAAGCAAATTGAGCAGATATAAGCCAGACTTGTATTAAAACATTGATATAATTACTGTTTTCTGATGTTTATGTTGGAGTTGACTGCCCTCTAGTGGCACATTGAGTAACATACAGGGAAAGGACTCATATTAATTGAACGTGCTCTTTACTGGGCACTCTCCAGATTTTATTCATGTGTCTAATTGTGTACTACTCTTTTATTTAAAGCCTAATGCTGTTTTGTTTTGCATTAACGTTATTGCTGGCCATATACAGGCTGTATTTATTCCTGAAGATGATTTCATGGATTAATTAAATGGTAACCCTGATGGAAAAACCAGCATTATGTTGGGTTTTGGATGCTGGTATGCATGTCAGCCAGCTTAGACCAGCATGGGATGCAGTAAAATCAAGTAAAATCAATTAAATTCCCTGCTGAAAAAACAGCACAGACCAGCATGTCATTACTGCCATCTAGTGGTGAATTGAGTAGCATACAAGGAAACGACTGATTCCAATTGCACATGCACTGAGCATGCTTCAGATTTTACGTTTGCGTCTGAATAGCCTGTGGATCCACATGACTAACAGATTAAGCAAAATCAAGGTAAGCTTGGGAGATAGGAACTTAAGATCTGAAGATTTCTTTTGTATTCGGTCAGACCTCATGGCTAAATGTCTAAAACGCGAGTTTTACCACTTAAAGGAAAACTCCACAGATTTTTCAAAATTATTAGATGTTTGAGATGTAAAAAAAAGTCATTCGTAGTGGTTTGATGTGAAACGCTCCCTTCCAGAGAAACATGCAGAGTCAGAATTGTTCTCAGCGGTGGTGATAGGAACCAGACGTCTGATGACGTCTAATGCCTTTGAAGTCCCCCTCAGAGAAAATTGGCACATGAAAAGGTTAGATGCTGCCTGTTGTGTCAGATAGGTTTTATACTTTCTTTAACATTTATAACAGTTTTGTGATACGATTTGGCTTAAAATGTATTTTAATCCATTTATCTTAATCCATTCATGGCGGAGGCAAAATAGTCCTCAAAGGAAACTTATTTATCAGATTTATCATTATTGTACCACCATCAGCATTACACATAAACACTCAGAAGGCTCGTGTAGGTTCGCCGGTGGTTTGGGATAGTAAATAAAATGTCTATATTTGTGTTGTAGACAGCAAACCCCTGGCTGCTATCACCACTACTTGAAAGAAATCTGAGCAAGTTTCTCTAAAATTAACCATTTCACATCAAACCTCTCTGAATGACCCTGTTTACATTTGAAGGACCGAATTATTCAAACATTTTTTAAAAAATTGGTGGACTTCTCCTTTATCATAATAAACCAAGACTTTTTGTCACTTTTACAAAACAACAGATTAAATTTCTTTGTCAATAAGAGCATGAAATTTGAAATGATCTGCCATCTTATCACATATTATACCAAGTTTAGTTGCTGTCTGGAAAGGGTTAAATCCACAGTGTGGCTTTAACAGCGTGGTCCAGTCCCCGAGCTGACGTCACAGCGAAGCCTGTGAGGAGGTGAGGGAGAGTTGATGAAGGCGGAGAAGAGGAGCTGCAGGCCGGTGACACTGAGCTCTATCCGCGCCTACACGGCTGTTGGATGCTGGGCTGCCCTTGTTTCTTTCCCGGACGATGGAGCACCCGAGGAGACCGATGTGTTTTATGAAGTGTTTGGCTTGGATGTACAGCAGCCTGTGTGTGATGGCCGTGGCTGACAGCCTACCTCAGTGCAAAGAGGTAAGACACGAGCAGCGTGTTCGTACTCTCACTTTTCTCTCCGGAGGGGATTTTAAATAGGCTGATGTCTGTCTCTCAGCTATGGCTGTGGTGTGCAGCGTAGCCTACTGTGTTTGTCTGTGAGCTAGTCAGGAAATCAACTGCGAGACAGTAATATGATTGTGGAACTTTACAGTCAGTCAAACAGTGTCTATCAGATCATCAGACTAAACATAGGGGAGTACTTTTCTGCGTGCATGTTCTTAAGAGGACAGGACCACTGCTTTCCACATAGATATTCTGCACCTCATATTTATGAATTATTGTAGCTTATAATACATTTGTTTCTGTATTTTTGCCACTGTCAGCAGTTTAGCATTGTCTAACTCTCATACCTCACACTTCTACCTCATTTCTATACAGTCAAGTGCAATCTTTCCAGTACTGCCAAGCCTCCTCCCTCTGCTGGACCCACCTAGTAGGAGGAAAGTTTGCAGACATGGAGAACAAATATGGCTGCAAGTGGGATGAAGAGTTAGAGTGATTAAGTTTTGAAATGGAACCCTTCACCTTCTTAAAGTACCATAGTCTTTATGTCAGTGCACAGGTGATATCCTTTGGTGATCATTTGGAACTGTTTGTTTGGATTAAACAGCAGGATGTAGCTGACTTGAGCAATATTCAGCTGAGTCATATATGGTGCTGCCCATTAAGCTCTGATTGAGCACGCATTTTTTCATTTAATGTGAGAGGTAACTGAGTGTTTAAGTCTCTCTGAGGAAAATCTGGTCTTAATCAAGTAAGGCTGCAGTTTTCTATTAGACCACTTAAAAATATGCCTTATGTGCTTCTGTGGTAAACTTAGTGAACAGCCACACTCTCTTCTAATCACGTCTCCTATGATTGTGCTTCAGAGGGGCATGGGGGATGGGAAATTGATTTAGGTTGTAATTTGCACTGTGCTTGGGTCAATTTCAGCAGTGTCACGTTACTTCAGGGGGTTCGACTTATCTCGTATATGAATGTTGTCTCTCTGCAGTGCCTACATTTCTGACATAGTTAGTGTTATCTCCAATGTTATGCTAATGGATGAGACAATTTTCCATTGGAGAGTTAAGTGGTGCTTTTCACCACTTTGGTCACGGATGTGCCCCCATCTGAAGTGCTCGGTGATAGGAGGCCTAAAAATAGCCCCTTTGAAACAGCTCCCTTTTAAAATTGAGCACATCTGCGGGTGGCTGTGTGTCTTAGGAGGGGAAAATGAAAGGACGTTATTGTACAATTAAAAGCTCCACAACAGCTGAAAGCAGGACTGTGCATTACAGTGAGCATTCACACGCTCCAAACTGCTTCTTTCTGCTTGTAAGGAGTGGCTCCTTACACGGGAGACACAGTACAGTTCATTAAATGTGAATAAACTGACTTTTGGTCACTAGTGGAGTCTACTACGGTGCAATACATTAATAATACATCACACTGACTAGTTTTACAGTGTCCTGTAAAATTATTATAAATGAGCGATGTTGGCCATGTACATTTTTTATAGGATGTTGTCAAATCAGTTGTTAAATCAGTTAAGGGGTAGTAGATATATGAAGGATTAAAAAAAAAAATGGAAGTGTGACGGACTTGTTTGGAAGACGACTGGGATGATGAGCAATAAATCAAGATAACATTATTGATGAATATTGATTTTTCGTAATTTAAAACCACATGTATTTTACAATTACATATTCAGTATATACGAGTCACTTGAAAAACCAGCGGGTGTCTCACTCTGTCTGCTGGTTTTCTCCTTCTGGATGCACTAGAATTCAAGTAGCATTAGCTGCACACACATCTAATTATAACCAGCACTTTACTACCATGATTCAAACACTGGCTCAGGTTCTTATTTGACTGTTTTCCTGATGTTTACTTGCGTTAAATAGGAAACATAGCTAGTAATGGAGAAAATGAAAATCAGGGACTGTCTGTCTGTCTGTGTCTGTCTGTTTGTTTGTTTAGCTGGGTGTCCATTCAAACATTTTATACATTTTAAGTCATTGTCCAAAAAGTCTGTAAAAGGTAAATGCAAATTAATCAGTGTTTCCATCAACTGTGGTTAGGCACAAATTACTAAAGATGACATGACGCACTTGCAGCATACGACTCAAGACAAGAGCCTCGTCACTGTGTGTGGCGTATACAATGGAAGGATTTGAACCTATTATCTGTCAGTGGAGCACTTTTGTCAGCCCTCTGTCAGCTATACATGGTTGTAACCCTAACAGTTCAGATAATGCAAGCAGGGCGGACTGTGGCCTCTTTAGTGAGGACTGAAGTCGCTGTCCCATTTCACTGTCACCCACCGAACACCTGCATACACTAAGGGGACGTAGTGCACACATGACTTTTGTTCACGCTTTGTCGTTGCTTATTTGAAAAATTTGTGTCTGTCACAATTTTTGCCTTTATCTTTAATTGATAAACCAACCTTTCCACCTCATCCATGCATAAAAATGTTTTTGCGATGTTTCATATCTCATAAATTCTGATTTTTTTTTTATTTCTGACTTTTTATCCAGGTTTTTAATACATGTTTCCAAAATAAAAAGAAGGATGACAAACATAAGACATCAGTCTTTTTGTCTTTCTCCCTGAGCTCCACTTTTGAAATTTGTATGGGATTAAGCTTTTATATGACTATTTTCAACCCCTCTTTATTCCTTAGAATTAAACATCCTGTTTTTGTTATCATGCCTTTAAGACCAATTTGATTTAAGACTAGATGACCTCACTCTCTTTAACGACTCCTTATAACTTAAACTTGAATGGACAGGGCATGACTGTTATAAACCGAACTGGCAGATGTATTTAAATGTGCTTTTTACTGTGACATAAAATAAATGAATTCATAACAGGCTGTTTTTACAGCTTAGTTTCCATATTTGGAGTGTATGAAATGGGGATGGTATGTTTTGAAACACTAACAATGTTTATCAGATTCCTTTATTTCAAATTCTTTTAAATCAAAAAGAAATATTTTTTTTTCTTTTCTGTTATGGACTCTCTAATTGTCTCTGACCTATGATGTTGCAGTAGTTATAATTCAATATAAAACTCATAATTCATATAAACATTTGATGAGCAGTAAATTTCATCCAAAATTCATTGCTTAGGCAAATAAGGGTGGCATGGAATTTGGAAGGAACT